TGCTCTTATGTCCTCCAAAAATCATCAGAATCTGGAAATTTCCACTCAGATAATGAAGAAGCAGAATGCCATCTGAGTTATACACATAAACACAAAAAACATAAATGCCAGAGAAAAAGTATAGACGGAGGGAGATGGAGAGAGAGCGGGAAAGTTGAAGGGTAAAATAAGATTGAGAATTACTTTTTTGGGTTTGTGTAGAGCATAGAACATGGTATCTTTTTTGTTTGTAGATCAAGAATATGATAAGGCGTTGGCTCATAGAATTTTACCATACTGCCATATTTGTATATAAAATTCTGCCAAATAAGTTTAACTTCGTCTCATTAATCTCTTTCGACACACTACACAGAATTTTCTATGCAACCCTCCTCCTTTTTTTACCTCGAGACTAAACAGTGAAAATATAAGTTTAGAAATATAAAATCTTGAAGGGTGTGATAGATGATAGATAAGAACAAAAAACCCAGAAATGATATCCTATGACTGAGCAGATTAAGGTAAGAAACGGACGAGATTCAACGTCAGTCAATCACACTGAACCGTAATATCAGCAAAAATCACGCTCCTCTATCGTTATCTGCAAATGGGATTTACGGAAATATTATAATAATTTTGTGAAAAAGAGAGATGGAGAGTTACATCTGCTTGAGTGCGAGGGAAGTGGGCACAACTGGGAAGCGACCTGGCAGGGATGGATTTGTGTGGTTATGAAAATGAGTTATCTTTGTGTTTTTATGTGTAGTGTGATGATACCAAGTCACGAGTGGATATTTTCGAAACTAATATGCTATAAATGAAAATTTCGATTGATATATCATGTCAACTAAGGTATGCTAAACAGGATTTATCAAAAATCAAAAGTTAGTTTTGAGATTAAGAAACTCCTTTTATATATGTTAAGATATTTTCTCTAAGTAATTTGTCTTGTTAGAGGTAGATTACTTATGAAGCAAAAGCAAAAACAAAAAATAGAAGTTCAGTTAATCAGACCTTAAGCTATGTTTATAATTAACTTTTCCATTCATGATTAGATCTATTTAAAAGGAAAGTTCAGACAAATTATAGATCGAAGAAAAGTGCACAACATCGAATGTGAAGCAAGGGGATTAGGAGCTCGAAGCAAGGCTAGATACCATTATCAAAGAAAGGACCCAAAAATTAATATGTTGATCGAAAACCTAGGTTGGGTTTGTTCAACATGTTTATGGTTTGCTCAAGTTTCGTGTGCTTGTCCCTAACTTTCTTGTCGATATGATTTTGATAAATACACAGGAGAGATGTTTTGACTCTCTTCCAAAATATGCATCTCGAATCAAGTTTATAACTAACATTGAAATTAACTGATTTGAAGAAGTCAAATTTAAAGAGTCGGAAATTTCCCTTAGTAGCATCACTACCAATTAGCCAATCACTTATTGATCCAATTATCTTGTCCACGATGAAAAATAAATGAATAACAAATAGTGTTACATCTCAAATTCAAAAGGTAAAAATGACTATCCAAATATAAACTTAATCATAGTTTCCCCCAAACAAAATAATTAAATCAAGCACTTTTAAATTCGAATAACTATTTTGTCATAAAAAGGTTGCTTAAAGTAGACTTTGAGACATTCCCAATGAATTGTGATATTATTAAATTATAATCAAATAAGTTGGATTAGTTGAATGAAATTAATTATTATCTCATATTTTATTAGCTTAGCACGTGATTATATCTCATGCATATAGCTTTTATGATTATAATAAAAATTAATCAATCAATTAATTAATGCACTTTGATCTCCAAACCATGAGTTCAATTTATAGTAGTCCCCCACTTCACCCCCACCGGGAAAATTTTACCAGAGGTCACTTAACTTACACATTAGCTTCGTATTGGTCATCAAACTTTGATTTGATTTAATCATATTTTTGTTTAAATTCGATCAATCACTTCACATTTTTATTTCAGTTTAACTACTATGTCTTTGACATTTACCAAAACTCACGAATTCATGACATGTCCAACAAAATTAATTACTTACCCTACAAAATTCGTGAACTAATCAATAGAATTCATGACCTGTCCAAATGATTTTACGATATGACCAATGAAGACGACAGTTGTGACATGGCAGTTGTGAGCATTATATATAGATCGAATGGTCAAATTGAATATCAAAATATGAGTTAGAAGATCAAATTGAAAGAAATTGAAGTCGAGGTATCAACACAAAACAAATTTATAAGTTCGGGGGATCTTGAGTGAAAATTTCTCCACACCACTACACGCATGCTTTGCCTAATTCTGGGACATGATTATATGAGTTTTATGTATGACCTTTTTGTCGGGTGACAGGCAATTAAATTAAAAACTATAGAGTATTGTCACGACTTTGTACAGCTACATAATGCTGGAATAACAATTTGGAGTCGAGAGGTCACACATGGTATGGATGTCCATTCTTGTATTCGTATATTTTTGATAAATTTCGAGGAACTTTT